GGTTTCTGGGCACTGAACTCTGGTCCCTGGAAGAATAGCAAATATTTTTAATTACCCGGACATTTTCCCCAAAACTATGATTTTTGATTGAACCACTTACACTACTTACATTAAAAAACAAATGCTGTGAGTTGGCTGTTTGAAACCTGGGGCCTATGCAGGATCGCTTGGCTCGGCCTGGGAGGAGGGGACTGGACCTACCTGGACTGAGTCTACCAGGTTGATCTCAGTCCTCGGGGGAGGCTTTGCCCTGGAGGAGGTGGGAAAGGGGGGTGGGCTGGGGGGAAGGTGAGGGGGGCCGGAGTGGGGAGAACAAGGGAATCCGTGGCTGATACGTAGAACCGAATTGTATTGCAAAATAAAAATAAAACTTGAAAAAAAGAAGACTGCAAAAAACAAAACAAAACAAAAAAAAACAAATGCTGATAAAGAAAGTCTTGTATGCTTTTCTTTTTTTTTTCTAGGTGTATTTTAATCCTTGTGTCCATAATTTCTTACACAACAGCCTTCTTTTGTGTTCTGTGGGTTTTCATAATGACTTTTTATTCCTTGTACCAAGTACAGAGGCAGCAACTAAAGGATATTCATAGACGCCTAAGAGGTATGGTCAGTTAAGATGAGGACTCATAGGACAGAATATACATAAACACTTCTCATGTAAGTTTCTAGGTCACACATAGCACATTTACACATTTAATGAATAATACATAGGTTTAAAATTGTTTTTTATATTTTTGCCCTGGAATCATGTAGATGATGAAGATCAGAATTACAAACCAAATTATAGCAATAGTGGTTTTTGTATTGACCTGTGCTTTTACTTTCATAGGGAAACTTTAGAAATTCATACAGTTTCATATTACTACATAATATATTTTTATTCAGCCTGACGAATTTTCCTGTAAGGCAAGCCTAGTTATGATAAGTTCTCTTAACTTAGATTTATCTGGAAATATGATTTCTTTCTCATATTGAAGACAATCTTGACCAATGTATAGTTACAAACTGATAGTATTTTTTTTTCATTTTGCCCTTTAAATCTTTCTGACGTCCTGGCTCTGGGTTTCTGATGAGAAATTGGCTGATAATAAATTTTGAAATCCCTTCTTGCAAATCAAGTCACTTTTCTGGCTGCTTCAAAGAATGTGCAATTGTCTATGGCTCCCAACACTTTGGTTATACATATTTCTGGGTATACAATGTGGATCATGGTAAACTCGTTTAATCTGTAGATTCGTGTCTTTATCCACATTTGTAAAGTTTCTACAATTATTACCTTGCTTCCTCTTCCTCATTTTCTAAAAATCAATTTATTTGACTTTATTTGTATTAGTATTTGCCTGCATGTATGTATGTGTGCCTGGTGCCTGTAAAGGCCAGAAGAGGTATTGGGTCCTCTACAGCTTCAGGTGGTTGTGGGCCATCATGTGGGCGTTGAGACCAAGCTCAGGTCATCTGCAAGAACAGCAAGTGCTCTTAAATTCTAAGCCATCTCGCTAGCCTCACTTTTCTTCTGGTACACTTATAATGTTGTTTGATCAGTGGTATCCTGAAATTTTCCTGTTATATTTTCTTTTGTCTTTTCTTATAAATCTTATGGACTTCAGATTCAATACTTTTACAAATCTATTATCGTTCAATGCAGAAGAATTTTCCTTTTTGTTATTATAATTTTCCAGCTCTGGAGTTTCAAGTGTTTTTTGTATAATTTATAATGTATATGTGGTTGATGTTGTTTTCATTCTTGTACATTTGCCATGTTTCATTTTTTTTTGCTCATGTTTTTCCTCATCTATTTACCAACAAGGATTGGTATTTCATAAACTCAGTCTAATAAGTAAGTATCTGGGCTCCTTCATGGGTAGTTGATATAACTTAATTTTACTCCCTTAAAAACAACTATATTTATAAAGCAACACACAAGAGTATCACTAGTTTTCATTCTTGTTTGTAGCATGAATCTTAAAGAGTCTTATTAATAAAATCAAACCCAAACCAGGTGTTGGGGTGAATACTGGAAGATCAGAGAAGCAGAACAAGCCACAGCCTCACCTCGCCAACTCCTCAGCTGATCCTGTTTCCTCAGACTGGAAACCTCTTTGTCCTCATCCAGAATGAATCTCAGCTGAACTGTGCTGCTCAAAAGCCTAAAAGCTTAACCAGCTAGTTCCTGGTTTTCATGCCTTATATACCTTTCTACTTTCTGCCATCACTTCCTGGGATTAAAGGCTCATGTGCCATGCCTGGCTATTTCCAGTGTGACTTTCCACTCACAGAAATCCAGGCGGATCTCTGCCTCTGGAATGTTAGGATTAAAGGCGTGCATGTCACCATTTTCTGGCCTCTATATCTAGTGGCTGACTGAGCCTTCCTAAATTCTGGGATTATAGGAGTATTTTAGTATGCAGCATTATATATTGATTTTTCTATGTGCACATATATAATAGGCACCACTTAATACCATCTGCTGATTGAGTTCAGGTGGTATGGCACTAGGGTTGTCTATGATTTTGTCAAAATCTGCTTCCTCTCCACCTCCAATCTGCTGTTCTTGCCTTGTAATTTCCATTACTAATATTATTCCCCTAATACTTTTAATAGGATGTTGTTAATCCACCTTACAGGCTGTTATGTTACTCTTGGTGTTTGAGAACATCACCTCTCCTGGGTGATATCTGGAGCTCCCTCCCCCCAGGCTGGTGCCTTCCTGTGCCTTTAAGTCAGTAGCTAAGCCCTTCATTATCTGTAGCATTGTTTTGGAGTTGTCCTAGAGTGTGAGGTATGCAAGACAGGCATTGTCTTCTCCTCTTTCTTTCACATTTAGATCATGGGTACCAGATACAAAGCATCCCATGTCAGAATGGTAAAATAATTATTTCACATTGCATCAAATAAGAAAAGAAATGAACTCTGACCCCTTTGCCTGCATATGCTATACCCATAATCCTTCGGTTTCTCATAGAAAACCTTTCTAAATGAAATATTTATAGGGAAGCATTTATGTTCTTCTGGGAGATGGTAATCTTCATGTTTTCTTTGTTCTCTAATGAATGGGCAGAACTTATAGAATGTTTATTTTGTACCAGGTACCTTATGTGCAGTTCACTGTTTAATTTTAACCAAAATCATCTGCAATTTATTTCTTTGTTTCAGACTTTACTTTCAGCAGTTCAAGGACATTTCCCATGGAAGGGACTTTTGTTTCATGGATGAATTAATTGCATTCCACAGAAAGCATATAAGACTGGTATATGCTCCAAACACACTTCGGTAATCCCAAAATAGAAGAGACAGAAAATATTCAATTTGTGAGATTTCATTGAACCCTGATGCATAAATATGAGTCACTTAAAAATGTATCAGATATAGTAATTATTTATAGTCATGTTTTTCATATATATATATATATATGTATCTTAGCAAAATATATAAAATAGGATATTTGATATTTCTAAGATATGATTAAATTTACTGGCCCCACTCTACCTGGGGATGTCTAGAAATGATTAAAGACAAAATTATCTTTTAAGGAGATTTTAAATTTTTCTTTACGACTTTTTTCACTGAAAGTGGTGACAATGTTTCCTTATATTTGTACCTCTTTTCTACTTATTTCATTGACTGAAACTATTTGTGAGTTTATTACAATGGTTTCCTAGGTAGCATCTTGTGATGTCATATAATAGTTCACCTTCATTTCAACCATGAACATATGTATAGCTCTGTTTCTACTTGCAGACATATAGCTATAAACCTTGCACATCTAATTTAAGTTTCAATGTACTACACTGAGTACACATTCTTCCACCAGGAGAGGAGGGTGGTATTTGATGATTATTAACATTGCCATAATGATGAAGTGATCCAGTTGAGGCAGGAGGACTGTGATTTTAAAACAAACTTGGACTATATCCAAAAACTGTCTCAAAAATGAATAAACAAAGAAATAAAGAAATGATGGAGAGCTATGGAAGTCCCAGAAAATGTCATCTAAATATTCAGGGCTATAGTTTGTAAAACCCACAATTTTCTTCACTTTCTGATTCCACTTCAGGATGACTCAATGGCAGAAAATAGTGTAAGTCTATTTATCTGAACTCTACCTTACAAATATAAGTGCAATCACTGCTTTATTAATGTGCATGACTCCTAAACTCTTAAGTAAAAGTATATAAGGAGACAGGTGTTAAACTTGCTGTTTGTAAGTAGAGCACAATGCTCTCAAGATGGACTCTTCTCCCTTATTCATGCTCCCAGGATAAATTATTTCTGGATTATTAGTGAGTTCTTTCAGGAAGCTAGGGTGCCAGTGTTCAGTAATTGCTTGCTAAGGTTTATGGAGGATTTTTAACTGAAGGACATATTTTTACCTGTCCTTGTAGCAGTGAGAGATTGTCATGGAGTTAAGTGAGTGAGAATATTTTGTTTTGTCCCAGAAATGGAGCCATGGCAGGGATTACCCGACAAACTTTCCCTTCTTGTATGATTGCGCTTATTTTCTCTTCTTAGTTTTTTGTCACTTTGTGTATGTCATAGTCACATGTCACTTTGACCAGGCTCAGGCCACAAGCACACCCTAACAGGTACACTCATATATAATTTACAATTGCAGATGACTTTTCAGTGTGGACACAAATAGGAGTATTCTGTGTCCTAATTGTTGATGCAGAGCATCACTTGGGATTCTAGCTCCTTCTTTCTCACCTTTCCCCCACCTCAGTCCTCATAGCCACCCTCTCTGCCATGGGACTTGACAGGCTTTAAGGTTTTAATGCCTAGGGCCAGTTTTGAATATGAGCTGCCATCATTATATCCCTGAATGTGCCATGTGAAAGTCCCTTGATGGCAGGGAATTGCTGGTGGATGTGTGCTGATTCGGGTTACCATTTTAGCGTATGCATCCTTTCCTGAGTTTCAAGAAGGATTATGCCATTACCCATCAATGTTTCAGAATGTTTTTATTCTGTTTTTCTATGGAAAAAAAAACTTCATACTGAGGGTTTCTGTTTGTTTGCTAGTTTTTATTTTCATTGTAGTCAGTACTTTAGTTTGAGCCCAATGTCTATGTTGTCCAATAGATGGGATCTAAATGTGCACAATATCAAAATAATTTTCCTTCCAAAGAGTTCTTCATAGAAACTGTAGCTTTCTATCTTTGGATCTAGCAGGGACAATAGCCCTTGCAGTCCTTGGGGAAAGATGTGTTGGTTGGTCTGGTTCTTCCAGTTGGGCAATATATGAAACCCGCCTGGGAATCCTGGGAAAGTCTAGCCAACAATCCTATTCTGCTCCCATTTCTCCTCCTCCCACTGCTGAACCTCCATGAACACCATAGAACCTTTGATCTTTGCATTTTCCCACCGGTAAGAAAATATACGAATTTAATTCAATTGCTCATCCTCTTGAAGTATAAACCTATTAAGAATCCTGCTAAAGAGTCTCATAAAGGCTGTTTGAACCACAAATCTGAATCCAGTAGTCCATCCCCCATCTGTCTCTGTCTCTCTGTCTCTGTCTCTTTCTCGTAAATGCTGTCCCATGGATGTGCTTTGCTGCTGAATGTAAATTGTGAAAGGAAACCTTCCAAAAGGAATCATCTGATGGTAACTGTTCTATACCCATTTTATACCCACATGTTCAAAACAGTAACTTTTGTAAACTCCATTACATGGCTGATCTCCCTCATTCCCTGTCCTAGCTGTACACACAACTTGAGCCCTCTCTTGACTGAGGAGAACACCACACAGTTATTACAGTCGCTTTTTGTCCACATTGCTTTTTATAAATTTTAAGGAGATTCTGAACTCCACAGTCAAGACTGGTGTTAGCCTTCTGTTCACCTAGGCTCTGAGTAGTGTCAGGCTTCCAGAGTGGTTTCTTGAGAATCATTAACTTTTTCAGAGACACGGCTTTCCTTCTGTCATTAATGAACTGCGTAACAGTTTAATGCAATGCTACTTTTAATTATCACAGCCCTTTCTTTTAAATATCAAATATCCTTTCTCTGAACTGTCCCGCTCTCTCTTCAGAGTCTCATCTGTCACTGTAAATACCATCACTTTATTCCTCCTTCAGAGGCAGTGACGGGCTCCCTCTTATCCCGAGCCTTATCTCTATTTCCGTCCCCTATTGTACCACAAAGATCCCTTTCGCAGAGCTTACAGCTGTATCCGCTTTCCACACGTGGCACATGATTGCCTCGGTAAAGGTATTTTCTGTTTCAATCTTGCATTTTCCCAAGGGAGAACAAAGGGGACAAGTTTTCTGGAGTTGGTTTCACTGGGAAAATTGTTTAGAATGGCCTCATTCCTCAGCAGATTAACGGATGCATACAATCCCAGCTTAAGTGGTATTGTACAGCACAATTTCTTCATTATACTTTGTCCTTTCCATTTAGAAAACCCCTCACCAATTAAAGTAATACAGCCTTCCAATACCTGCTCCCAATTAAATCTGAGCTGTACTACCTGCCCCGATGCAGCTGGTCACAGATTCTTACCACTTATCCGCATTCATTAGGCTTGTTCATTATCATGGGATAGTGGCAGGAATTCAAGGCACTGCCTTCCTTTGGGCAACACCAAAATTATCAGCTTTCCACCCAAGGTCCCAATAAGGACAGGATTAAGTATAAGGGGAAGGGATTCAGACAGTAGCAAACTGCCATTGTCCCTGGGCTCTCCGGTCCCCTCTATCTAAACGCATCAAAAGGATACAGTGCAGGTACAAAAGAATTCCCCTCTTAATTAAAGGATCACTTTCCCCTCCCTTTCTACCCCAAAGTACACCCAGCTTTCCTGCCCTCGAGTCCTTTCTCTGAGAGCACAGTGAAAAAAGAAAGGGAGGCCTTGAAAGTGACCAGGAAGCCCACTCCCTGGGAGCTATGTTATTTAAGACCCGGGCTTTCCAGCTTCAGGCCAGGCTTCGTTTTCTGAAAAGTGTTATTTTTCTACCCACGGTTTACAACGTCCCTGAGAAAGGAGTGGGGGTGTGGGTAGGCGGACCATGAACTGTGACTTCAGTACTAATGAGGCACAGTGACACCCGTGGGTGTTCCCAGATAAATTTCAGCCTGCCCAGGACAGACAGCATGCGAGTGTGCCGCCCGTTTCCTGTACTCCCGTTCTGAAGAAGAAACACAGTGGTCATCATTCCTAGGAAATGTCTTACTGTTTTCTGTCGTGATTCTTGATCAGAACAGGAAACAAACAAACAAACAAAAAACAAACAAACAAAAAAAGCGAGTGCGGAGGGGCATGCCACAGCCTGAAAAAGAAGCATCATCATGAACACCCCAGAGAAAATTCAGGAAAGAAGAAAACGCAGAGAGCTTGCAGGTATAACCTCAGCGAGACAATGAACAACACAGAAAATCTGTAGGTTCCTCAAGCAGGGCTACCAGAGCCAGCAGGCAGAATCTGAGAACTCTCTCAGCCTCTAGGCATTCTGGGGGGCGGCAGAGCATCCCTGGCAGTTCCTGAGTTCTTTGTCTAGAATCCTAGAATCCAAAAAAAGCTTCTCTACCTGTGCATGCCAGGGAGCAGAGCTGAGATCTTGCACTAAACTGTCCTCTCCAAAACAAATGAATAAAAGGTAGAACTGGAATTGTACATTCCAGAATTCCTGAATAATCACTTATCTTTGGGCAGTGAAATTTTAAAAGGGACCACTCACGCCTCCCCCCTCCTCCAAGGACCCTCCCTCCAGGACTTGTGCCTGAAAATTCTTGACTGTGGAGAAGCCATGGAACTGCTCCGCAGAGAAGAGAGATGAATGGTGCTGGATAATGGGTGCTGGGTGAAAACTGGCTCTCAGTAACTTTACTGGGTCCTTATTGTATACATACGAATCTTATCAATGAACAGCACCATATGCATATACAAGGCTTTTTTTTTTTTTCCTTGGGGGGGTTGTATATTAGTGTTTTCCTCTCAATTAACTTCTAGGCAATTTTCCCAGCTAAATGCATAACATCGTTGGCAAGACGCCAAACAAAACCTTAAGACCCAACACTAAATTCTGCACTTATACAGGCAGCTTAGATTTTCATGTGGTGAACTGGAAGCATGCCAGCTACTTCTACTGTAAACCCAGCAGTGGGAAAGCTATATATTTTTTTTTTATCAAGAAACTCTACTTTAGATTTCTAAGACCACTTGAAAATTGTACTATTTTAATGTGCCTTTTAGACAAAATAAAAGAAAGATTTAACCTGCTATTAAATTAACCCAATTAGCTATTTATTCCATGTAACCTTACACTTTGGAGGCTGTTAAATCAAATAAACTGGCAGTGAATGAATTTTTTTGCGAATTATGGAAATTATGAGATGCATTCTAGACAATACATTTTTATGTCTGTTCCTAACCCTTTTCACTCTGGCAAGATTATCAGAATACTTACTTAAAGTATTTTATTTTTTTTTTTTTTTTTGCATACAAAATGAAATTACCCAAGATACAATGAAGGGCCTAGGGAGAAGTGGCTGTGGAATTTACCAGTAAAGGAAAGCTAATGCAATAGTAATTTCCACACTAGCCAACCCTTGGAGGCCTTGTCTGCACCCTTTCAGCCTTTGCTCTCTGCTGTACTTTCATTTGTACACGCTGTGGAACACTTGCTCTTCTCAAACGTGATACTTTTTAGAGTCGTAACTGTACTGGGCAGCTTTGGGGTCCAGTCAAGCTTTGTCAATGTTAACTTTAGAATCAAACTCTAGGACTTGGAGTTCATGTCAACTGGGTTCTTCAAGAGGAGCAAAAAGAAGGCTTTCAGGAACTTGTATAGAGTTTAATAAACCTGCCTTAACACTAATAAAAGGTTTTGGAAAATAACATTTAGACAACGTGAGAAACTATGAACCAGAGACACATGGGTTAAATTTCCCTAGAAATACCCAGGGGATTACAAATTAAGGGACTGAAGATTACATGGCCAAACACATTTCGCCCAACCAAAAAGAAAAATAAAACTAAAGCTGTTTATCAAACTAACAGGAGTTATTATTCTCCTCAATATTAGTCAGTGTTATCATCATTTAAAAAAATTGATAGAATTTCCAGTATATCTAGAGGTTTCAGAAAACAGGATCGAAACAAAAGGATTTTATAACTCCCAAAGAGAATGATAAAGCACAAACACGCAACACTGTGTGTTTGTTTACATGAGTTCAAGAGCTGGCCCTGTGGGGGCACCTACTTGTGCCCTGGGCAAGGTGCACCCTGTTTATTGAATAGGGCAGGGCCTTTTTAAGTCAGGAACCTGGCTAAAGGGCAAATAGAAGGGCAAACTTTCTACTTCTGTAAGTGGTCTAAGGCACCAGATTCAACATGCGGAAGACAGGCAGATGCAGCCGGCTTCATATCAGAAGAGTCAGAAAGGTGACGTCTGAGGACACCTCAGTGAAAGTGAAGACACTGATAGATGAACAAACTGTCCATGTGTGCCCTTGATTTCCAGCAACGTTCAAGAACAGAACTGATGGCTTCTTCTGCGTGTTCCACCCTCTGTGAGTTTCACCAGCAAGTCCAAACTCTGAAAAAAAATCACAAGAAACAAGAAAAAGTCAAGTCACCATCTCCACCATCTTCTCCACTGTCCTCCTGTAGATCGGTCTCCTTTGCCTCTGGTTTGTCTGGACAAAGGCCAACTCAGTGCTGTGTATATGTAAATCCTGTCTTTGAAGAACACAATGAAGTTGAAGTCGAAATACAGAGGAGTAAAAGGGCAGAAGGACAGTAAAAGGACCCTGAACAAATGAGATAAGGATGTAAGAAAGGAGGGAGGGAGGGAGAGAAGGGAGGAAGGGAGGATGGGGAGGATACTCTGCGCTTAGAGAAAGGAGACTGGAATGTTTAATAAACTCTTGCTGTAAGTTGTACTGTACATACACCATTTCCCTTTTATTTATTTCAAGGCTAAACTGCTATTTTAAGCTGAAACAATCATGATTGCACATGGTATGGTGGGTGTAGACATTGGTCACAATTGTGATGTGGGATTAGATCAGCATTCAGAAACTTTGGAACTTTCTAAGAGATAGAGGTGATAATTGGAAATAAAACGCAACTCTGAAAAACCTTAAATATTTCAGAATAGTCTTAAGGGAGTCATTTGACATTTAAAAAGCACAACTGTTAACATGTTTACTATATAGAACTGAAATTGAGTAAAATTTGAATGTATTAATAAAAGTGTACTGTTAGATATTACCAAGTCCCTGAAACTATGAGTTAATGTCAAAAGTAAAGTAAGTTCTATAGGGTTTATTTTATGTAAGAGATTGTTGTGTCCACAGAATACATTTATATAATATATATTAAAACAGCTGTGTAATGGTACAAAATATGTTTTATGAAGAATTAACAATATTAATATCCAAGAAAATAGTTCTAACAGTGCATGACTTTGTAGGATTGATATGCAATGCACTATCTTCTTGTTTGAAACACTTGGATATTTCCTTGAAGTCAGGTGATTTTATAAATGGATGAATCTCATCAGTATGGATTAATACATCAACAAGCAATTTAAAAATAATTTAGAAATATACTTTTCTCTGTCTACTCAGTAGAATGTTTTTCCTTCTTTAAGGGCAGTCTAGAAAAATTGAGAATGATTCTTACTGCATATTATTACTTCCTTTAATTTGTGTTATTTACATAAAATTAGCATAATTTGACAAAACTTGTATTACTATGTAAGAGTAATTCTAAGCATTTCTTTGGACATGTAGCATGGGGCTCTTAGGAAGGGTTTTCTGTTGGAAAGGTATAGACTTTATTTGTATTGATTCTTAACTTTAACATGTATGGTGCAAAATTGCAGGGACAAAAATTAAGGGAAAGATAAAATGGCATTTAGTCAAAATCCTTTTTTTTTGTAAAATACACAAAGTACTAAAAAAATAGAGAAGAAAATTTGCTTTTAGAAACACTTATTTTGATTTAACTTGCATTTTCAAAGCCCCACACTAAGTTCTCTTGCCAGTCTAAGTGGTTCTGCTTGCCCAGTGACAGACAGGCAGTCCTTGAGAGCCAAACCCACCAATTTCCACCTAGCCTGGCTGTGTATTAAAGTTGCATGCAGCAGATCTCTGAAGCATGCATGCCTTCATCCAGGCTTTGAATTGTGAGAAACCCAGGACAGTGGTTACTGGGAACAAGAATGGATGTACAAGACCAAAATAAATAGGTATGTAAACAAAACGTGTAAGCTTCTCAAGTATAGAATTAGTGCCAGAATCCCATGTGGGCAGGTATGTCTGACAGGCCAAATCAGGATTTCCTCTGGAGGCAAATGAAGGCTTACAAGTGATCTCAAACCCCAGCCACAATCAGCAACAGGAGAGGAGCGGTTGTCTAAACTTGAATCAGAATCCAAAATTAGGGTCAAGAACACATGGAAGGGTAAGCCAAGGAGTCCACAGTGGGCAGGGCCTGAGGACAAGAGACAGCCCAGCCTTGGCAGGCTCCCACTGGGGTTTTTAGAGGGGGCTGCAGATAAAAGGAAGCAGGAAATCAGGGGTGGGGGCAGGGTCAGCAGGGAACTGTGCCCTCATCCATCTCAGGCCACACCTGGCAGCCAGGCCCACACCCTGAAGGAGTGAAGACACTGTAAGTGAAGATTTGGTAAGGGGTAGCCATCACAAGCACGCCAGTTCAACACTGTTTATATAGAAATAGTCCCTACTGAAACCCTAGTAACTTCAAGGAGGCTGTTATTCATACTTATCAAAATTATAGTTTTATACAATCAATCATTACTTAAAAAAATGAGGATTTCTTGACACCATGCAGAAGAGATGTTAGAAAATATGAATTATTTCAAAATATGTATTATTTCAACTATTCTTCTATCTTTGCGCTTAATTTTTATTTATATCTCAGGGTCCAAACTTAATTTGTTATTTCCCACAGAGTTCAAAGCACAGGAGAAGTTTGCTCCTCAGCTTTCAGAATTTCCAGCTGATTGGCCATCTGCTTCTCCTGCTCTTTGTGGTTTGGGCCCCATCACCCCCTGCAGTGCTCCATGTATACCGCTCCCCCCCCACACACACACAGACACACAATTCTACCTGCAGCCGTTTTCAAGAATCTGAGGTATTTCCAGGCCAGTATCTCTTCCCTCTGCCTGCATATCTCAGGTCAATTGTTGTGCAGCCTCAGCTACTGGGTTATAGTGCTGTAGGGATTGGAAGAAGGAAGAGATGATCGCTGGAGCTTCCTGTGACTAAGGTCAGTAATATCTTTCCGATCAAGACTCAAATTCCATTTTCCAAGGGGAACCCTTCTCTGCTTTTGCATTTTGGATAAGTTGAATCTGTTTAAGTACCACACTATCTATCTATCCATCTATCCATCTTCTATCATCTATCTATCTCTATTTCTATCTACATCATCACCATCTATCTATTGATCAATCAATCAGTCTATCTACCTACCTATAATCTATTTCTCCATTCATTTATCTCTGTATCAATATTTACCAGAGTTTCTTTAATTAACTAATGTGCCTACATGTCTCACAACTAGAAAATACTCTGTACCCATCTTTCCCTGGTACTGGTTTTGCACGCTTTCATTATTCATTTGTAGCAGCTGCTTGCTATTGGTAGGTTAATGACTATATAGATGAACAGACAGATGAGTTGATGGATGGATGACTAGGTGGAATATAGCATTGAATATCATGTTTTGTTTACTTCTTGGATTTGCAGACCATTGCCCCTTAGTGAATCTGTGCCTTTCTGTCTCAATCTGGAAGTAAGGACATTTGGGTTTCAGCTACAGTATTTAGAAAACAATCAATACATTTGTCACATTTTGTCCTAGAGCTGCCTATGGTAAACTGAGTCCAGTATGTAGTAGTTTTAACCAAACTTCCATATCTAGGATTGGTGTACAATTGTCACTTCTCCAACTCATAATCAACAGAGTTTTCATTGCCAGGAGAGGAACAGCACTGTGGCATGGCAGGTTTTATAGTACAAAAGAAAAATGTTTATCTAAAAAGGCCAAATAAGCACCTAGTTGAAATGACATCATAATTATTATCATATACAATTAGATGTTTTCATGATGCCTTTATTATAAAATTATTCATTATTAGTTCACATGTCTTGAAGCTTCTTTTAGAGTATGACTATCTTTACATACTTAAAATCTTATACATAGTTGATATTCATACTTTGGTAGATCCTATGTAGAAACTGAACATTTGCGCTATCATGTTTTGACAATTTAAAAAAAAAAAATTCATGTCTCCATCCAAAAAAATCCTTGATACAGTAGACTGATTCTGGCATAGGTATCATAATTTAGAAATGTGTAAAAAAATGCTCAGAGAGAGCCATAGCTAATATCAGCGCCCTCACACATCGGATATAGAGCACCACGGAACCCATTGTAGCAGACCCTACACTATAATTACATTACACACGTTTTAAATTATCATGATAATTTAAGACTGCAGCTTTGTTTGGGGCTTAGATTTTCCATATTCGTTCTCACATGTGAATCATTTAAGTGGTTGAAATAGAATCTGTTTAGCTGTTTTGAATTATATGAATGAAAGAAAATACACTTTCTCTACAAAGCAAATTAAGACATTAAGAGATTCAAGTGAGACTGAATTTATAGGCTTGAAGTCTGGGGAGTAAATGTGAACTTAAAAATATTTCCTAATTCCTTTGAATGCGACTTAAAATCACAAATGAATTAACTCTTCACTATAGGTCTGAAAAAATGATCCATGGATTCAAGGATCTTCATTTTCCTCCAATGCAAATATTGAAATTTAAGTGAACATCACAAAATATTTAGCAATTTGACATGTATCAGTTGTGTATGCTCTGTATATACTCCATACCAGGGGTGTGTAGGTACATGATTCTTCTTTTGAACATGATTGCTCTATTTATGTCTGAAATATAATCATATAAAATATACAAGCTAAAAACATTAATCACCCAGAGTAGAAGTTGTATTTGTTGTTGGCAGTTAGGGTTTTAATTGGAGGCTTAGATATCAGAAATTTTATTTTTTCTTAGGTAGGCTGATCCAAAGACCACTATGTAGCCTAGGCTGGCCTCAGAGTTGAGGTAATCCTCCTACCTTAACCTTCTGTGTGTCTGGATTATAGGCACCATCAGTTATTTGTGCTATTTCTCTATTTGTGCTTTGTAAGGAGACTTGGCAACATTTTCAAGCAATCAGAGAAAAGATTTAGAACAAAATGCTAAAGAAAGGAGAACTCTAGCATCTTTTCTATGATTTCAAAATCAACTTTCAGCTATTTCAAAGGCCAGATAGATCATATCCATCCCTACCTTACTCCATGATTTTCCTTCATGATGTACAAACTCTCCTGGCTTTCTTGCCCCTTGAACATTTAGCCCTGGATTCAGCAGGACCTAGAATGATTACTTTGTACTTTCACTCAGTGATGTAAGTACCTCAGATTCTTACAAAACTCCACATGTTCAAGCTGACTCCTTTGACATTTATAAAACAGTCACACCAGAGCTTCATCTGTGGGTTATCCACAATAGTGGGCAGAGCTGTAAGGCCAGGGTAGAAGAATGCCCTCTCCCAGGTGGAAATCACAGTGTTGCTTCATCTTGTCCTTTATGTAGGCTTAGATACTTCATTAAAATGTCTAGTAGCCAACAGGACATTTCTCCTTCCAAAACCTTCCAACCCAAGGCCCATAGAGTTTTCCTCACTGCTAAAGAGGTGTGTTATCTCTCCTAAGATTGTAAGTATTAGCATCCATTAGAACACCTACTTCAAACAGAAGCAGAATTGGCAAGGTCAGTGTTACATGTGTGTAGCTAGAGTTTTCCTGCCTGGCCCACAGTCAGAACAAATCTCTGTCACCTGCCAGTCCCACAGCCGCTCAGACCCAACCAAGTAATCACAGAGACTTATATTGGTTACAAACCATATGGCCATGCCAGGCTTTTTGCTAACTGTTCTTTTACCTTAAATTAAGCCATTTCTATAAATCTATACCTTGCCACGTGGCTCGTGGCTTACCGGCATCTTCACATGTTGCTTGTCATGGCGGCGGCTGGCAGTGTCTTCTCCCGCCTTCCTGTTCTCTCAATTCTCCTCTGTGTTAGTCCAGCCTATACTTCCTGCCTGGCCACTGGCCAATCAGTGTTTTACTTATTGACCAATCAGAGCACACATTTGACATACAGACCATCCCACAGCACATGTGCAATGTCAATATTAAAAAATGAATGCACAAGGCAATGAATTTGTCTCTAAATGTATAATTCTGAAGGTGCATGGACAGAGAAGTTGCACAGACAGTCATCTCTCTGGCCATGCATATTAACACTTGAAACCACAATTACTTGAATATCCTGCTCAGTTGCTTCACATGAAGATGTGTTCTCATACAGCTGCCCACTGTATGGAAGTGACATTATCTGTTAGTTCGTTCAGCTCTCTTGGTGTTGTATTTCAACAAAATTACCTGTAGACTCTGCTGCAGACTTCTGAGATTTAAAGAAATTTGTGTAGAATTTTGGAAAAGAAGTCGTATTTAGGAAGTAACTTTTAAGTTGGTCTGTGAATTTCTATTTCTAGACACAAAGCTTCAACATGGATGCCCCCATCTTCAGCTTTTTATTGTATGTGTGGCGTCAGACATTTAACACTTGTCTGGGAGCCATGGTTCCCTGGGTCCTCTCGCCAGAGCTTCTTGTGAATGTTTTCCCCTCCTTGGTGACAAGTGGGCAACACTTCCAACTTGGCTGATTGTCTCTGCAGTCTCACATCTCAGGCTGTTGTTTCCGTGCTGAACTGGCCTGTGTCACTTAGATTTAGACAATGAAAGCATTTTGTCATTATCTGAAATGACAGGTGTCAATAAGAGTCAACAAGAAGGATGAGCAGTAAATTTAGAACTATAAACATCACATAGGGTTAATGTTATTTTATTACATTAATTTGTACTTTTTTTTTTTTTTTTTTTTTTTTGGATAGGGTCTCCCTGTGGAGCCCGATCTGGCCTGCAAGTTGCTTGGTAGGCCAGTCTGGTCATGCACTTGTATTGATCTTCCTCCATCTGTTTCCTATGTGCTATGACTTCAGGCCTGTACCACAAGGCACAGATTTCATCATATTTTCTGTTTTGATTTTTTGGTGGTGGGAATCAAACTCAGGGACCCACATATGCAAGACACTCTACCGTTGAACTACATCACCAGCTCAAGTTACCTATAATTATAGAAACCCAATAGTTTATTTTTTTTCTAGTACTTGTTAAGACACAATAATCTAGGGCAGCACCATCCAATAGGGGTACCTGAGACTGTAGAGATGGTTGATCTCTGTAGCATCAATTTGACTGCCACTAGCCACAGGAACTTTGACCGTATAGCCATGTCCAATTGTTTTTTCAATTTTAACTACTCTCTGGAAATTTGAATAATAACTGGTTTAAAGTCATTCGACATGCATTTGGACCTGCTTCCATCTCTCACTGTGTGATTTGGGGGAGATGATTCTCTGAGACATTGCTCTTCCATTTATGAGACGTGGGTGGGCATTACCTACCTAGTGGGGTTACTGGGAAGGGTGGGATAAGATGCCAAAGCTAAAAGTAGTGACAAGTACAGGTCATTTGCTCAGTGTCAGTCAGCTTTTATGATCATATTTTGATTCCTCATTTTATAGAAGTCAACCTAGTTGAACTGTGCTTTTCTTAGATTGGCAGCTAAAATAAACAGAATGTAATAGTGACTGAGTCAGCAAATTGGCTTGCATTCAACTTTCACTAGTAGCAGAAGTAAAGGTGGATGGAGTCCTGGATGTTTCTCTAACAAAGGAATGTGAATGACGGACCTCTTCTTAGGTGTAATAATAATAATACTTTTTTTATTTCAATATTTGTATGGTCTTTTAAAAGCCTGTTTTTAAATTGATGTTTCAATTCTGGAAGTTTATGTGTGAAAACAAACCCATAAAATACAGAAAAATTCATTTTGTATATATTCAGAATATAAGCTGTTTTTCTATTAACTGCATTCCTAATGGTGCCCAATCTATTTAAATTAAAATAGATAAAACGTTTAGAGTAAACTGTCTATTCAGATTATTGGAAAATGAAGCACCAATATTAACAAATCTATAAATAATATGAAGTTTTGCTTTTACCCATGAATAGAGTGTCTCTAATTAGCATCTCCCTTGGTCAAAATTAACTTGAGCATTTTAATAGATTGAGCTACAGAGAGACAGCATCTGAAAGCGGGAAGGGAAATGGATCAAACCATGCAAGTCATCTTCTGCCTCATGTCATCTTATGTTTGAGTGTTACGATGTTAAATTATTTCAAAGTAGAATCATGTGAAATAAGAAATTGCCTAAAATGAGTGCTTCGTGGAAAGGCTGATCTGGAGTTGCGACAAGAATATTTTGAAGCTCTAAAGCTAGAATCTGTTCGTGGCATGTTCAGAACGGAACAGGCTTCAGCCTGTTAGGTGTTGCCTCCGTCAGGCTGGTCTATTACAAAATGCTTTCAGAACTATGTTGAAAGTGGGTTGTGTGAATTCACCCCTTCTAAAATCATTTTTTCCTTACTGAATTTAGGTTGTTTGAAAATGAGTATCAAAAAAAAAAAAAAAAAAAAAGCAATGTCAAGGGAGGCCAGTATCAGCTACCATCATCAACAAATATTTGCTGAGTTCTGAGTATCTAGATATGCACAGTGTGATCAGGCTTTCAAAGCAGGTGGGAATGGGATTCTTTTTCCTTTAATGTTAAATTCTTCAGTTTGATCAATGGAAGCCTGTGCGCCCTGTCCAGGCAGCTCTGAGATTATATGCAAACACGCTGTGTGAGTGAGAACACAGTCACTTTTATGTGGGATACAGACCAAAGGGAATGTAAGCTGCACCAGTATTTTTTGGGTGATCCACAAGTTACTCGTGACTGAAGAATATTAACCATTGGTATGCTTGTGCCTCATCTAAAGGGAAACTGAGAAAATTCCAATCTAAACTTGTTTTTAGTAGGATGCTACTCTGCTGATTATGGAATATCAGTATGGTTGAGAGATGGCCCAAGGCACAGCACAGCAGGATCAGTGGGGCTCTCCCACAATACAACTGGTGGTTAATAAGGTCAAATCTGGCTTATGTCCTGTAAAGTTAATAACAACCCAGCTCCTTGCAAGGGTCAGATCTATCTCTGTCAGACAACACGGAGACACTAGATTTGTCCTGAACATTAAATTCTAAAGATGTTAGTGTTTCCCCCATTTCTTTCTCAAACAACCTCCCCCTGCTTCCCCCCCTCCTACCTAAAATTTTTGGACAAACTAGATGCCCTCAATAAGTACAATACAAAATGTACAGTAAGTACATACCAAAAAATTTTCTTCTGAGCATTTTCAAAGACTGTTCTTTCTGGCTTGTGAATTGCTGCTCTTATTCCCTAAGGCATATTCATAGGGAGTTAGGTAGCAGTGGGCTTTGACTGAGATGACCATCATTTCAACACACGCACACAGGGTGCTCTTTCGCAGCTGCAGATTTTATACCATTCTGGATTTCTCCTCTGCTCGCTACAGAGCAGTTGTTTCCATTGTAGTGTATTTCTACGCTTAAAGGTCTCATATTGATCACTGAATATTTGCTCCCTTGCAATGAAATGAACACATAAATTGAAATTCTAGAAATAATATTCTGTGACCACCATGATTTATGATGATAATGTTTTTTTTTTCTGCATGGGGTTATCATTATAACTATATTAGGCACACTGAGATGGAGACATCGCAAATGTGGTGCAATTGACAGCAAAGGCAAGGAGCTTGGAGATGCTCTGTGGCCAGGTGGTCTCCCTTATGGAATTTCAGGGGCCTTGTGTGCTGAGCTATCTGTGGTACTCATCCATTGTGGTACAAACCCTCTAACAGTATTACAGCGAATAACATTTTTAAAAAGAGTCAATATCACGCATATGCCTGAATGAGAGCATCTGGTATTATAAACTAAAAGTCCTCTTTTCTTTTATTGTAGTCTTTCTTTAGTGGGAGGCCACACAAGAGGAAGGAATAAAAAGGAGTTTACATCACCATAATATTCTGCATATTCCCTTGATTATTTCAGCATATAATGGTGGATGCTTTAGGGAGAGGCTTTATTTAAAGGAGACTTTGTAGATATCTTACACGTTCTGGTAGCAATAGTCAGGCATAAGATTACATTCCATTGGTGTGTACCCACTGTGCCCTTCTATGGTATGGTGCTCTGCTGGTCTTTCCATTGATTTGAACAGGAGGAAGTCTCAGGACTGGGCTTCATGGGCTTTCAGTTCTTGCGTAGTCACTCCCATAGCACAGCACTGTAAAGAAGCCTACTGGAGAATGACATTTCTGTAAGAAGAATCAGAGACCTTATAAACAACCAACATAAACTGATACAGGAGGTCTCTACCTGGAGGGTAGGTGAATCATATTGTGACCACAGAGCTGAAGAGAGACAAATAGACATAGCTCTCATATTTTTCTTTTTTTTTCTTTTTATTATTTGTGTGTGTGTGTGTGTGTGTGTGTGTGTGTGTGTGTGTGTGTGTGTATGCACATGTCTGCATAGAGGTGTCTGTAGAAGCCAGAAGAGAATATTAGACTTCCTGGAACTGGTATATAAGGTGGTTATGAACTACCTGATGTGAGTGCTGGAAATCAGACTCCAGTTCTGTGAGAAAGTAACAAGTGCTCTAAGCTGCTGAGTCATCACTCCAGCTCTGCTCTTTGTTGTTCTGAATCACAAGATTTGAGTTAGTTTGTAACTTATCAGGACATATCTAACACATCCATTGATTTTAAAGAAATCCCCCCCGCCGTAATTTGAGATAGAGTTATAAATGAACAGTCTGTCTCAGAAAGCCAAATGGTTTATTTTTACACAAGAAATGAGATGTCCCTGGTATTCCTTTTCAAAAACAATTGTACTCTAGTAAAGTTACAGAAAATTTCATTTGTTGAAAAAAGGAATCCAAATTTGAATTAATATAAACATTTAATGCAAGTGTCTGAACACGTGGACGCATGAATATGTCATATGAAATCAACGGGAAATCTCCCCATTTAAAGTATGAAAGGAATAATTTTCAGGATTATAAAATATCAGAATCACATTCATAATATGTAAACAATAATATTTCAGGTAGTAATCAGATGAGCTATTTTGTTGCATGAATAGCACTGACCACCTCGAAGAAAAAAGACATTGACTTGGGGAATATGGGACGTGATCACAACAGCTATACGGAAGCATCATTTTCTATCTTATACAGGCAATACCATAAACCTTTTAGTCTAAGTCACAATTCTTTTAGAGGTCTAAAAGATTGGTTTGATTTGGTATATTAAATAGCCATAATAAAAGCCAAATGATTTGTGGGAACTTTAAAATTACTTGCAAATATGAAGTTAAAGTTAGTCCATTCACATTATATCTAAGTCAACTTTTAATTTCTTCATATTTTAATATTTTCTTTGTGGACACTCTGGGATTAGGACTATAAATTCCCTAAGCACACTTGTCATTCCACAACATGACACGGAGACAGAAGGCCAGGATGATGCTTGCCCTCTAGACTTGCATTGGAGATGGAGACAGAGCAAGCATACTATACATAAGTAGAGAATCCCTAGGATATAATGGGAAAGTTAGCTAGTGAGAGAACACCTGAACAGGAAAACACATTTGAAGTCTTTGAGTGTCCACAACCTGTGACATGTCAACTGGAAAGAGTCACATGAAGTCAACTATAATTACAGCAGACAGACACTGCTATACCCAGAATTCAAGTAGGAATCTCTGAATTTTCACCTACAAGAGCTTTTATCTATAGGGCCTTGGTTGTTTGCTATAAACCATGGTGAGAGACACTTGAAACTAAATGCTTCAGAGGTGGGCATTCCCTCTATACTCTCTCATCCTATAATGCAGTATTGACTATTCCTAGAAATGGAGTCCAGATAAAAACTTAAACACTATTGTTGTTGTTGTTGTTGTTAAGTTCGGGTCAAATTCTGTTGCTCTGTGAATTTTTTGCCAAGTTTATTGAGAAAACAAACTGAACTAGCACTTTCCTTTGGAAACTGGAATTCTCAAAAGGGTCCCCTACCCCCATATATTTCTCATTCAGAGCTTTTGGTATCCTATTTTACCTTTGTTCTGGGACATAGGGCATGGTCCAGTGTCTCCATTTCCTCTACCTTGTTCAGGCTTTGCCTTTTCTAGTCTCTTTCTCACATACTCAGTATTAATATCAGTGGTGGCTCAGGTGTTCTTTGGTTCCACTTAATGTATCTGGATTGTTATACTGGAAAGAAAGGTGAGGCAGTGCTCAGAGATGCTCTAGCCTGCAACCTCCACACCCAGGGAAAACTCTTCACCATCAGATTCAGGAACATTTCTACAAGGGAGACTGAGGCCTTCTAAGACAGGAAACAGCATCAAAATGACCTGCACCAGGGCTAACATTGTCCAGAGGATGAAATGAGGCCAAGATTTTATATGACTCATTGGTCACACATGATGGAAGTTAATTAATTTATATTTACTAGAACTTCTGCAGACCAGCCCTGCAGCATGTGACAATATGGTGCACATATGAGCATGCTGAGTGACACAAGACATCAAGTGAAGGCTTGGGGACAGGGAAGGATGCTAATTATTTCTTTAACACTACAGACTTTTAAAGTTCTCAGTTAATTATGCAAATGCCTTCTTGAGAGAGTTTTAAATTTCTAGTTGAGGAACTGATTACAACAAATAACTTATACTATAAAAATACTCCTTTTGGGAGTGGAGATATGGCTCAGCAATTTAGAGCATTTATTGCTCTTGTAAAGGACCTGGATTCAATTCCCAGCGCCTATGTGAAGTCTCAAAACAGTTTGTAACTTCAGTTCCAAGTCATTTGACCCCCACTTCTGACCAGTGCAGGTCCCAGACTTGCACATGGTTCACACATAAACATGTAAGCAAGCATTCATAAACATAAACTACAACAAATATAAAAGACTTCTAAATGATTCCTTTTATATGAAAATTCCCAAGGCCATTTCATTCATTTCATTCCCATTGGTTTTTGTGAGAGGCAGTGCATATCAACTGGCCTGGTTAATTTTCTCTTTCCAGGTACATGGCAGGTTACAACTCTTCACTCCATCAAAATGACCATGGTTATGTAACCAGCCCTAATCAACCACAGGCATATATCAGAAATGTCAGGAGTCACCCTGGGATGCAGAATTTGAAAGCAGATTCCTGTGTGGAAATGGTGCTGTCTTCATCAGCCTGAGTTCCCAGTAACTCAATGGACCAGGGGATGTTTCTTCCTTTCAGGTTCCATCCATGGTTGAACTTAGGATGTAAATGTTAGTGTGTTCCACACAGCTATTGCGATTCTTCAGGCTGTGAGGTATCTCAGTGCAATCCCAACCATCTGGCTGGAATGATACGTTTTCTGATTAGTGGCCTATCATCTGGGCCTCCCTCTGAGACCGGACTTTTCTGGCAACTTTCAAAGACTTCTGAATCCACATTCTAAATGCCAGCACTGAAGAGATTGCCTTGCTCCCAGTGAAAACATAAAATGTTGATATAATCCCCTCAAATGTTCTGATAAACTATAGTCCAACAACATTCATCCCATTCTTCTAGGGTCCTGGAATTTGGCCACATTGACATACCAATGTTATATTCATAGATCCCCAGACAGTGAGGTTTACAGCATATGTTTCCATTTCAGTTTTGTAAATCAGTTGTAGCAGTCAATTCAGTCATAGTGTTCTGTCCAAAACAGAGGACGATTCTGGACAGGCATGTGAGGTGAAGGATTATGGGAAAAAACCAAGTGCAATGGATTTAGAAGGAAGTATATTGATATTGTGGGAGAACAAAATCAGCATATCTGAGCTATAAAAATAGCACAAGTCTCCACATTAAATTCTATGAATCTCAGTTTAATCTATATATGATAAAATATTCAAAAGCTCAGAGGAATTAAATATTTTAGCAAGAGAAAGATATTTAGCAAAAGTCTTTTACAGTCTCTCTCTCTCTCTCTGAAATGAACTTGACCCAGGCAGTGTCTGACTGTGGAACAGTCAGACCTGGGCACAGCGTGTTCAAGCCCACGTGTGAAGCTGAGTTCCTTTCTCTGTAATAGGCCTCCATCCTGGAGCTTCATGGCTTCCAGTCACACCCTTTTGAATTATTCTTTTGAGATCAGTCAGGTATCATGCATGGGCTGGATAGAACATAAAATTGGAATACTGGAAACTAAAAACGGAACTGCCATATGGTCCAGTAATCCCATTTCTGGGTACATATCCAACGAATTAAAATCAGTATGTCAAAGAGACATCTGCACTCCCATGTTCATTTCAGAATTATTCACAATAGCCAAGACATGGAACCAATATAAGTATCCATCAATAGATGAATGGATTAAGAACACATGTATGTGATATATAAGTGCAATGGAATATTACACAGCCTTTAAAAGGAATTAGATTCTATTATTTATGCCTACATGGATGGGAGAAAAAAGCATATCAGGTCAAATAAAAGAGGCACAGAAATATTTTACATGTTACTATGCTTCAATATGAAATCCTTAAAAAGTAGAACGTAGACAAACTAAACTAAGTAGGCAACTGGTTATCAGTGGCTAAGAAGAGAGAAATGGATGAAGGTACTTGGGATCAAAATGAAGTTATTTCAGTTAAAACTCTAAGCAGAGACTTCAATGGTTTATTGTACTGCCTGGTGAACATAGTTAATGATACATTTCAAAATTGATTGACCATAGATTTTCACTTTCTTATCACACATAAAAAAGTTGTTTGTTACCAGATGTGTTAAACACCCGGGTCAACTATCTGTATGATATGTTCATAGGCCAGATATCAAATTATATCTCATAAATATGCATAATTATTAGTTGCCAATTAAACATTTTAATTACAAAAATTCAAGAAAAAAATGTAACAAATTTGCATTAGAGTTTAGGAGGGATGTGTGTGCACATATGTGCGTATGTGCATGAATGTATGTAGCACGGTTGTCAAGAGTTTTTAAATTGAATTTACTGTCAAATTCAGCTCTTGCCTTACATTGCCCTCTGCAATGGAATCTTTTAGGAGATGAGACTTGCAAAAAGCCAGCTTGGATGTGGAAAGGCAAATTTCTGCATGTTCCTATTTCCAGTTGTAAAAGATAATTGCTAACCCAATTGGAAATGATTATTTTGAACTTTAACAAGTTAAGTTTGAAATTTTTCTTGAGTATCACCTTACAAAATGAAACAAACTCCATATAATTGCAACTTCTGGCCAAATAGAACTATAAACAT